AAGATCCAACATCCAGGGAACTGAGATACAACATCCGGGTAACTGAAGTCCAACATCTGGGGTCCTGATATCCACCATACAGGGCACTGAACTCCATCATCCGGGGACCTGAGGTCCAACATCCAGGGAACTGAGGATCAACATCTAGGGCACTGAGGTCCACCAGAGGGAGGGGAGGACTACTCTGAGGATCTCAGGTTCAAATTCCTGAGACTCTGGGACTTCCCCCCTGAACCACCAGGAAACCGGAAGTGACGCCATATTGGTTTCCCCGGGGGCTCCCAGGGCTGGGGTCCTTTCCACCCTGGGTGGGCAGGTCCCAGGCTATCCCAGACACAGCAGGCCTTCCCCCTGAAGGTGCTAGATGCCCCCTCCTGACCCGGGACGCCATCATCACTGACCTAGGGTCCTTCTCCTCTCTCTTGGAAGGTATGGTTACCACCAACGGGGCGCGCGTGCTGCAGTGGGCAGCCGTGTCAGGTGGGCTGCCCACCTCCGAGATCACCTTCGCCAAGATCCTGCAGGAGCAGGGATACGCCACCGGCCTCATAGGTAAGAGAGAAGTCATCCATCCACCCATCCACCCATCCCCCATCCATCCACCCATCCATCCATCCATCCACCCATCCATCCATCCATCCATCCATCCATCCATCCACCCATCCATCCATCCATCCACCCATCCATCCATTCATCTATCCACCCATCCACCCATCCATCCATTCACTCATCCATCCACCCATCCACCTATTCATCCATCCATCCATCCATCCACCCACCCATCCATCCATCCACTCATCCATCCATTCATCCATCCACCCACCCACCCATCCACCCATCCATCCATACACCCACCCACCCATCCACCCATCCATCCACCCACCCATCCATCCATCCATCCATCCACCCACCCATCCATCCACCCATCCATCCATACACCCACCCACCCATACACCCACCCATCCATCCATCCACCCACCCATCCATACACCCATCCATCCATACACCCACCCACCCATCCACCCATCCATCCATCCATCCATCCACCCACCCATCCATCCATCCATCCACCCACCCATCCATCCATCCATCCACCCATCCACCCATCCATCCATCCACTGTGCATCCATCCATCCACCCATCCATCCATCCACCCATTCCCCTATCCATCCATCCATCCATCCACCCACCCACCCATCCATCCATCCATCCATACACCCATCCATCCATCCATCCACCCACCCAACCATCCACCCACCCATCCATCCACCCATCCACCCATCCATCCACCCATCCACCCATCCATTCACTCATCCATCCATCTCTTCCCCTCCAGGCAAATGGCACCTGGGCCTCAACTGTGAGTCCCCCACTGACCACTGCCACCACCCCCTGAACCACGGGTTTGACTCCTTCTTCGGGGTCCCCTTCACCCTGATGGGGGACTGCCTGCAAGCGGAACCCTCAGAGAAGCGAGCGCGTCTGCAAGGGCCCCTGGATCTGGGGGCGCAGCTGCTGCTGCTTTCCCTGCTCTGCCTGGCCGCTGGGAAGCTCACGGGCCTGCTGGGCCTGCGCTGGGTGCCCTGGGTGCTGGGCCCCGGATGTGGGGCCTTGCTCCTGGCCTGCACCTCCCGCATCCTGGGTGTCTTCATCGTCCATGCCGACTGCTTCCTGATGAGGGATCACCAGGTCGTCCAGCAGCCTCTGAGGTTCGAGGCCAGCGCGAGGCTCTTCTTGCGGGAGGCTGAGGCCTTCATCCACAGGTCAGCCTGGGATCGGGGAGGGGGACAGATGCCATCTACTAGATCTCTATAGTCAACTGGTAGACCTTAGATCCCCGGATGTTCCATCAATGGATCTCTATAGACATCTGGTAGATCTCAAATCCCTGAATGTTACATCTAGTACATCTCTACAGACATCTAGTAGACCTCAGGTTCCCAGATGTTCCATCAGTAGATCTGTAGAGACATCTGGTAGACCTCAGATCCCTGGATGTACATCCAGTAGATCTCTATAGACATCTGGTAGACCTCAGGTCCCCGGATGTTCCATCTAGTAGATCTGTAGAGATATCTGGTAGACCTCAGATCAGACCATGATCGATTATTGGTAGTCCTCAGATCAGACCATGATCGATTATTGGTAGTATTGATCAGATCATGATCGATTATTGGTAATAACTGATCAGATGATATTCAATTATTGGTAATAACTGATCAGCTCATGTTCAATTATTGGTATTATCGATCAGATGATGTTCGATTATTGGTATTATCGATCACATCACAATTGAATATTGGTATTATTGATCAGATCCTGTTTGATTATTAATATCTGATCAGCTCATGTTCTATTATTGGTCATATCGATCAGATGATGTTTGATTATTGGTAATAACTGATCAGATCTGTTCGATTATTGGTAATAACTGATCAGATCATGATCGATTATTAGTATTTTTGATCAGATCACTATTGATTATTGGTATTATCGATCAGATCACGATCGATTATTGGTATTATCGATCAGATCAGGATCAATTATTGGTAATATCTGATCAGATCAGGATCGATTATCGATCATCTGATCGATTATTGGCAATATCTGATCAGGTCGGTTATTGGTGAGGTTATTGATGATGGGGACGGGGTCTGATGTGGGTCCGCAGGCACCAGGCCCGCCCCTTCCTCCTCCTCATCTCCTTCCTCCACGTCCACGTCCCGCTGGTCACCTCACCTGCCTTCCGGGGCCGCAGCGCGCACGGCGCCTACGGCGACAACGTGGAGGAGCTCGACTGGATGGTGGGTGAGTGCGGGGGGAGGAACTGAGGCACGGTGCGTGGGATGGGGGAAACTGAGGCACGGGGGTGGGGTGAGTGGGATGGGGAAACTGAGGCACTGGGACGGGGTGAGCGGGATGGGGAAACTGAGGCACGGGGGTGGGATGAGTGGGTTGGGGGAAACTGAGGCACGGAGATGGGGTGAGCGGGATGGGGGAAACTGAGGCATGGGAAGGTGGTCAATGGGTTGGGGTAAACTGAGGCATGGTGCATTTGGGTAAACTGAGGCACGGGGACGGGGTCAGTGTGTTGGGGATAAACTGAGGCACAGGGTTTGGGTAAACTGAGGCACGGTGCATTTGGGTAAACTGAGTCACTGGGCATGTTGGGGGTAAACTGAGGCACGGTTCACTTGGGTAAACTGAGGCACGGTGCATTTGGGTAAACTGAGGTATGGTGGATGTGGGTAAACTGAGGCCCGTGTATAGGGGTAAACTGAGGCACGGTGCATGTTGGGCAAACTGAGTCACTGGGTATTGGGATAAACTGAGGCACGGTGTATTTGGGTAAACTGAGTCACTGGGCATGTTGGATAAACTGAGGCATGGTGCATGTTGGGTAAACTGAGTCACTGGGCATGTTGGGTAAACTGAGGCATGGTGCATGTTGGGTAAACTGAGGCACGGGGACGAGGTGAGTGGGTTGAGTAAACTGAGGCACGGGGATGGGGGTAAACTGAGGCACGGGGACAGGATCAGCGGGTTGGGGTAAACTGAGGCATGGTGCATTTGGGTAAACTTAGGCACGGTGCACTTGGGTAAACTGAGGCCCAAATATAGGGGTAAACTGAGGCACGGTGCATGTTTAGGGTAAACTGAGGCACGGTGCACTTGGGTAAACTGAGGCAAAGTGCATTTGGGTAAACTGAGGCACAGTGCATGTTGGGGGTAAACTGAGGCACGGTGCATGTTGGGGGTAAACTGAGGCCCGGTGAGCGTTGGGGGTAAACTGAGGCATGGTGCATGTTGGGGGTAAACGGAGGCACAGTGGACGCTGGGGGTAAACTGAGGCACGGACCCATTTCCCCCGCCCGCCCCCCCCCGCAGGGCGACTGCTGGCGGCGCTGGACGGCGCGGGGCTGGGGCGCCGCACCCTCGTCTACTTCACGTCGGACCACGGTGCCTCACTGGAGGCCCGGGCTGGGGGCGCCCGCCTCGGGGGTTCCAACGGCGTGCACCGAGGCGAGGGGGAAACTGAGGCAGGGTGGGCGGGGCCTCCCACGCGGCCCGACCCCGCCCCTTGACCTTTGCCCTTCGTCCCCCCCCTTGCAGGTGGCAAAGGCATGGGCGGCTGGGAGGGCGGCATCCGGGTCCCTGGACTGGTGCGCTGGCCCGGGACGCTGCCCGCAGGGCGCCTGGTGCTTGAGCCCACCAGCCTTATGGACCTGTTCCCCACCGTGGTGCGCCTGGCCGGGGGTTGGGTTCCAGCGGACAGGTAGGAGTTCGCTGGCCTGGGTCCCCACGGGGTGGGGGGGAAGGGGGATCATCCGGGGATCCCGAGGGGGGAGGCTGAGGCCTGCACATCCGGGTCTGTGGGGGCTCAGGAGCCTGCACATCCGGGTCTCTAAGACCCAAAGACCCGGGGCTCAGGCCTTGACATCCAGGTCTCTGGGGGCTCAGAAGCCTTTACATCCGGGTAACTAAGGGCTCAGGCCTGCAAATCCGGGCCTCTGAGCACTCAGAAGCCTGAACATCTGGATCTCTGAGGACTCAGGCCTTCATATCCGAGTCTTAAGGCATCAGGGCTGCACATCCAGGTCTCTGAGTACCTAGGCCCAGGTCTCAGGCCTGCACATCTGGGTCTCTGAGGGCTCAGAAGCCTGCACATCCGGGTCTCTGGGTTCTCAGGCCTGCACATCCGGGTCTCTGGGGTCTCAGAAGCATGGACATCCGGGTCTCTGAGCGCTCAGAAGCTTGGATATCCGGGTCTCTGAGGCCTCAGGCCTGCACATCCAGGTCTCTAAGACCAGAGGCCTGGGTTTTAGACCTGCGCATCTGGGTCTCTGGGGCTCAGAAACCTGGACATCCGGGTCTCTGGGATCTCTGGCCTGCACATCCGGGCCTCTGAGCGCTCAGAAGCCTGCACATCCGGGTCTCTGAGTGTTCAGGAGCCTGGACATCCGGGTCTTGAAGGCCTCAGAAGCCTGCACATCCAGGTCTCTGAGGGCTCAGAAGTCTGCACATCCGGGTCTCTAAAGGCTCAAGCCTTGACATCCAGGTCTCTGGGATCTCTGGCCTGCACATCCGGGTCTCTGAGCGCTCAGAAGCCTGCACATCCGGGTCCCGCAGGGAGGTGGACGGCCGGGACCTGATGCCCGCGCTGCTGGGGACGGCGCAGGCCGCAGGCCACGACTTCCTGCTGCACTACTGCGAGGCCCGGCTGCACGCCGTGCGCTGGTTCGACCGCCCAAGTGAGTGCCTCGACCGCCGCCGGGTCCCTGGGCGGGGGAGGGGGCTGCATGCGTGTGCGTGTGATACAAGGCCTGGGGGTGGGAGACCCGGATGTGGGAATCCCCGGATGTGGGAATCCCGGGATGTGAGGACCTGGATGGAAGGCATGAGATGGGAATCCCCGGATGTAAGGTCCCGGATGTGAAGTCCCCGATGGGAATTCCTGGATGTGAGGCTCCAGATGTGAGGTACTGGATGAGAATTCCTGGATGTGAGGCCCCGGATGTGAGATCCCAGATGTGAGGCCTCGGATGGGAATCCCCGGATGTGAATACCCAGATGTGAGGTCCTGGATGGGAATCCCCGGATGTAAGGTCTTGCATATGAATGCCCGGATGTGAATCCCTGGATGTGATGTCCTGGATGTGAATTCCTGGATGGGAATCCCCGGATGTGAGGTCCCGGATGTTACTCCTTTCTCCCCCCACCCCCCGCAGGCCGCACGGTGTGGAAGCTGCACTTCGCCACTCCGCGCTTCGACCCGCCGGGCTCGGGCGCCTGCCTCGGTTTCCCTGCCTGCGCCTGCTCGGGGCGGCGAATGACCCGCCACCGGCGGCCACTGCTCTTTGACCTGACGGCGGACCCGGGGGAGACCCGCCCGCTGCAGGGCCCGATGGCGACGCGCAGGCGCGTGGAGGCCGCGGTGGCCCGGATGCTGCGCACGCGCCGCCCCCGCGCGGCCCCGCCCCTCGCCCCTGCACACAACACCTGGAGCCCGCGCCTGCAGCCCTGCTGCGTGCCCGGACTGCTCTGCGCCTGCGACCGCCTGATCCCGGACCTCTGACCCCGAGCCCGGGGCTACGGCAGATTGTGGCCTGCGCCTCTCACATCCGGGGACTCACATCCGGGTATTAAACATCCGGGTATACTCAAATACAGAGATTTCCACATCCAGGGATTCCCACATACTGACTCTCACATCCGGGGATTCCTACATCCGGGGATTCTCACATCCAGGGATTCTCACTTCTGGTGACACATCCGGGGATTCCCGGGGATGTATTTACACATCCGGGGAATCCCACATCCGGGGACTTTTACACCCGGGGATTCTCACAACCAGAGACTCTCACATCCGGGGACTTTTAAATCCGGGGATTCTCATATCCAGAGACTCTCACATCCGGGGATTCCTACATACAGACTCTCACATCCAGAGATTCTCACATCCAGGGATTCTCACATCAAAATTCTCACATCCAGAGATTCTCACATCCAGAAATTCCCACATCCGGGGATTCTCAAACCAGGGAATTCCCACATCTGGGGAAATCTCACATCCAGAGACTCTCACATCCGGGGATTCTCACATCCGGAAATTCTCACATCCGGAAATTCTCACATCCAGAGATTCTCACATCCAGAGATTCCCACATCCGGGGATTCTCACATCCGGGGATTCTCACATCCGGGGATTCCCACATCTAGAGATTCCTACATCCGGGGATTGTCACATCCAGGGACTTTTACATCCAGAGACTCTCACATGCTGGGATTCTCACATCTGGGGAACTCGTACATCCAGGGATTTTCACATTCAGAGAGTCTCACATCTGGGGATTCTCAGACCCAGGGATTCCCACATCTGGGGACTCTCACATCCTGAGCCTCTCATCCTGGACCTCCACCTTGGGCCTCCCATCCCGGGCCTTTCCCCAGCCTCCCATCCGGGGCCCTCTCACATCCGGGCCTATGTCCTCTAACTTCTCACACAATAAAACCTCGTGAGCACCGCACTGCACGGCAGGGTCAGGGGTCACCAGGGTCAGAGGCCGGGCACTGGTCCTGCCTTCCATTTCAGGTCATTTCTGGTTGATGCTAGGATACAGGGCTGGTCCTGCCTTCCATTTCAGGTCACTTCTGGTCGTTGCTAGGTTATAGGACTACTCCCACCTTCCATTTCAGGTCATTTCCAGTCATTGCTAAGGTATAGGACTAGTCCCACTTTCCATTTCAGGCCACTTCTGGTCATTGCTAGGGTATAGGACTGGTCCCACCTTCCATTTCAGACCATTTCCGGTCATTGCTAGAATACAGGGCTAGTCCCACCTTCCATTTCAGGTCGTTTCCGGTGGTTGCTAGGGTATTGGACTAGTCCCGCCTTCCATTTCAGGCCCTTTCTGGTGGTTGCTAGGGTATTGGACTAGTCCCGCCTTCCATTTCAGACCATTTCCGGGGGGTTGCTAGGATACAGGCTTGGTCTTGCCCTCCTCCAGGATGTCCCACCACCTAGATTCACACCTGATTGGCCTATTCCATGAAAGCCCCACCCTCACTTTCCTAATTCACTTGTCATTGGTCCAGCTGTAAGACACGCCCCTTAGCCCCCCCCACAAATCCAACTCGCTGCTGATTGGACCTCACACGACAGTCCTGCCCCTAACTACCTGAACTTGGATTCAGATTGGCCCAGCGGGATTGGAGACGTGGGGTACCCGGATGTTGGACCACTATAAGGGAGGGGGGGTTGGGTGGATGACCAGGCCTGCGACCTCTTCCCCTTCTGTGCCTGTCCCAGGGGACCCCAATGACCTCTCCAGGGATTGACCCAGATGGGCCTATAGCTCCTTATCGCGGTAGGATAAGTCGAGGTCGGAGGTCTGTGTCTCCCTAGGCCTAGGTTGCATTGCACCTGCATGACATCTGGGTCTTCTCTGGAGGGAGGGACCCATTGGCTTCCCTGGGGACTCTTCCAGCCACGCCCTCTGCTCTGATTGGCTGACACGCCTGACCCTCCATCCTTTGGCCCTGCCCAGGGAAGCTGGGGGTCCAGTCCCGCCTCTTCCTTGGGTGATATTGAAAGGCAGGGCATGCTGTCCATCATCCCTAGGCCCCGCCCCCTGCCAAGCCAATAGGTGGAGAGTCGATATGTGTGAAGCCACGCCTCTTCGTGGCTAGCTCTATGAACGCTGTGGGTGCCCATCAACCAGAGGTCCCGCCCACTAGTGAATGTATGGGCTCAGGGGTTGTCCTTCACTTCCAGGTCCCGCCTCCTGGCTGTGGGAAGGCCACAGGGGCTGTCTGTCTCTTCCAGGTCCCGCCCTCTGGCTGTTGGAAGGCCATAGAGGCTGTCTGTCACCTCCAGGCTCCGCCCAATGGCTCTTGTGTGGACATTTGTCCTGTCTGTCACCTTCAGGCCACGCCCCCTTGTATTATCAAGTGTCCTGTCGACTTCAGGCCACGCCCCTTGCAATTGGATGGCCACACAGGCTGTCATTTACCTCCAGGCCCCGCCTCCTACTCCGTCTTAGGTCCTGTCAAGCCGAAGCCCCGCCCACAAGTGACTGACTGGACACTCTAGCTGTCCATCACCATCCTGTCCCGCCCTGCGCCTGTCTCCACACTGAGCAGGCACCAGAGGGGAAGGAAAACGCTGCCTGGGCGCGCAACGTGCATGTGCAGTCAGTGGTTCCAAAGAGGCGGAGCCTGCACATGCTCCATGGAAAGATGGGCGAGGCAGACAGGTCTGACAGCAGGCATGTGTACTTTACATTGATTTTATTCGTCCCTCCCCACCAGGCTCCTTCTTACGCTTCCGCTTCTGCCTGCTGCTGGAGGCCCAGGGTTCGAATCCAGCCTCACACTGGGGCGGGGCCTGGGGTGAGGGGAGACACAGGCTACAGCGCCCACGGGGGATCATGGGAGGCTTCGCCCCGCTCCCCCCCTCATCAGGGCACCCTGGGAGGGGGCGGTTCCCACCTGCATCCCGGCCCACGCCCCAGAAGCAGCGTCTGCGACCTCCAGACTAGAAGTAGGTGATGGCGGCGCCCACCAGGGCCACGACCACCACGGACACTACAGGGGACACGACGCGGGCCAGCGCGCTGCCTGGAGGGGGCGGAACCGGAACTGGAAATGGGGGGAAGAACACACCCAGGAAGGGGGGTGGGGCGTCTCCCTGCAGCTTCCGGTCGGGAAGTGTCCCGAAACAGGAAGCCAGCCAAGGTGAAGGGGGTGGGACAAGGGTGCCTGACCGGAAGTGCTATCACAGCCGTGACAGGAAGTGTCCATGAACAGGGACAGGAAGTGCCCATAGTCAAGACCAGAAGTTGTTATATACTAGGGACCGGAAGTCTCCACAGTCAAGACCAGAAGTTCCTACACACTAGGGACCGGAAATGCCCTTCCAATCAGGACCGGAAGTGCCCTTCCTATCAGGTCCGGAAGTTTCTATATACTAGGGACCGGAAGTCCCCAGTCAGGACCAGAAGTTCCTATATACTAGGGACCGGAAGTTCCCATAGTCAATACCAGAAGTTCTTATACACTAGATACCGGCAGTTCCTCTACACTAGGGACCGGAAGTGCCCTTCCAATCAGGACCAGAAGTTCCTGTACACTTGGACCGGAAGTCCCCATAGTCAAGACCAGAAGTTGTTATATACTAGGGACCGGAAGTCTCCACAGTGAAGACCGGAAGTTCTTACACACTAGGGACCGGAAGTCCCCATAGTCAGGACCGGAAGTTCATATACACTAGGGACCGGAAGTGCCCATAGTCAGGACCGGAAGTTCCTATATACTAGGGACCGGAAATTCCTATATAATAGGGACCGGAAATGCCCTTCCAATCAGGACATTAAGTTCCTATACACTAGGGACCAGAAATACCCATTCGGGACCAGAAGTTGTTATATACTAGGGACCGGAAGTTCCCAATCAGGACCGGAAGTTCCGATACTCTGGACCAGAAGTTTACATACTGTCAGGAGTGGAAGTTCTCATGCCGACCGGAAGTCCCAATACACGCCTGGGCCCAGATCACGAGGGGACCGGAAGTGGGGTGGCCGAGGGGGCGGGACTTTCCCTGGAGGGTCTCCGTGGATCACGTGATCATCAATAACACCTGAGCTGGAGGGAGAGGAGAGACACGTCTATGGGAGCTTGATTCAAACATCCGGGTCCTTACATCTGGGTCCTTACATCGGGCTACCCACATCCAGGTCCTAACATCCATGATCCCAGGTCTGGGTCCATACATCCTGGTCTCAACATCCGGGTCTCCACACTGGATTTTCCACATCAGGATCTATACATCCAGGTTTCCACATCCGGGTCCCTACATCCAGGTTCCCATGTCTGGGTCCCTACATCCGGGTCCATAAATCCGAGCCTCCACACTGGGTTCCCTACATCCAGGCCTCTCCATCCGGGCCTCTCCATCCCCAGCCTCCACATCCGGGCCTCCCCCCTTCCATGTCCTCACCTCCTGTGCCTGGCGGGGGTTGGGGCTGGGGTGGAGGCCGGCGTCAGGGCGGGAGGTAGATGTCTGCGGGGAGAGAGAGAGCGAGGGAGGATGAAGACCGGGCGTCCCCCCTCCCCTTATCCCCTCCCTCCCCTGACCCCTGA